ACCATGGCTTTGCTATTCTTGAGAAGAAGATTTTTAAAGAATTTTCCTATATATTTTTATGTAAAACTTTGGTCGGCCACTGTGGCCCCGCCCTACCCCGGGGGTCATAAATTAAACAAACTTGAATCTACACTACCTGAGGATGCTTCCATATAAATATGGCCAATCATGGCTTTGTTATTCTTGAGAAGATTTTTAAAGAATTTTCCTATATATTTCTATGTAAAAATTTGGTCGGCCATTGTGGCCCCGCCCTACCCCCGGGGGTCATAATTTGAACAAACTTGAATCTACGCTATCTGAGGATGATTCCACATGAGTTTCATTTTTCCTGGCCCAGTGGTTCTTGAGAAGAAGAATTTTTAAAAATGCCATTAATTTTTCACTAATTCATAATTATCTCCCCTTGGAAAATCGGCGTGGCCTTTTATTTGAACAAACTTGAATCCCCTTTACATAAGGATACTTTGTGGTAAGTTTGGTTGAAATTGGCCCAGCAGTTCTTGAGAAGAAGATGAAAATGTGAAAAGTTTACAGACAGACGGATAGACGGACAGACAGACAGGCAGATAGACGGAAAGACGGACGCCGGACAAAATGTGATCAGAAAAGCTCACTTGAGCTTCCAGCTCAGGTGCGCTAAAAACTCTAACACTGCTATTATTGTTTGTTTGTTAAACGCCCTTTCCAGAAGTTTTACTCATTTTAAGACATGGTCGCCCACGTGCCACATTGGTAGGAGCGTTTCCTCTTGAGTCGAGGAGTAAGGGATTGATCCTTAAAGGTTTGAATCGAATTAGAGAGGTTAAAACATTTCTTCCTGATGAGAGTTTACAGCTTAACGTACTTTTCAAACTCACATGGTTTTCTTTTTTGCCCAAATTAAGGTCACATTCTTAAAATGCAACATTTGTGTAACCTGACGACAAAATATATTTTAAAAGTGATCTATAACTTAATTTTGATCTTATTACATTACTTTAAACATAATTCAAACATAATAAGTGGTAGGGTTTTCATGCTCTTCGATGATAGAATATGACAGTTCCCAAATGTTTTTTCATGGTTTCTAGTCAAATGAACCCGTTTTTGTATCCGTTCATTCTAAAGCATACCTTTGCATTTGCTTAATACAGAAAAAGTGCAGTTCATGTTACTTCAGTATTTTCTGTACATGAATATGACACTTAAGCGCAAGATGATAGAAGTATTTCTCATCTGTTCGGTGTTTTCTTTTCAATACTTACAATTCACTATGTTGAAAGATAAACAATACTTGATTATCATATCCTTTGACGTGATTTCTTTATGCAGTTTTGTCATTTTTGGTGCTGTATTTCCACGAAACCAAGACAAGTATGGAAAATGGGCAAAGTTAGGTTGAAAAATACTCATCTGTAAGAAGTCAATTTGAGCAGTTCAACTAAATAGTATAAAAAAAGCTCGATTATATAATTTTTAAATACCTATGGTGGAATCATACACATGTAACGTCATACAATGTTTAAACTAATTCCCTTTTACAGAAATGCAATTTTAAAACTTAAGATAGAGAATATGCACCTTTAACATAAAATATATAATACTTTAGGGTAATGTTCCGTACTGAAGCTCGATGATTTTAAGTTTTATTGCAAGAAAAATGTGACCTTAATTTATGCAAAAAACCATGTGAGTTTAAAAAAAGTGCGTTGATATGTATAAATCGAGGTCTCGCTGACCAAGGGTCCTAATTCCCTAAGGAATTATTTTTTATCCCATCCAAATTTAAAGACGCGCTTCAATCAGAATTGCATAATCAATATTTAGTTTAAGATATATGAATATCAATAATTATGTGTCGAGAAAAATAATTTCTTCAAAATGGTTTGAAATATGGTTTTTATTTATTTTTTTCATTTTAGAATTAATGTGAATATTGTAGGCTTATTATTATGTCTAGGGAAAGAACTTCAAGATTATTGATTGGAATACACCAAAGGATTTACAACATCGATATCTTTAACATGATTTTTTTCTCTAAAGTAACCATAGGCAAATACATGTTTATGTTTAAAAAAAAAAGAATCGTGATATGTGCATTCAAATATCTTCCGAAAATAAATAAATATGATATAATCAAACTTACAAAAATATCTGTGTCATCACCACTAAAGAATGATAAAAACGCCCCGCATGGAAAAATTCTCAAATTTTGATTGCTCAAAATTTCACGTTCTGCAACCAAATGCAATACATTCTTAATATATATTAAAGGAATTCCTCCTCGATCTTTAGGTGTGTCAAATGAAAAACCTTTATAAAAGTCTTGCATTGTTTTATATAATTCGTAGCTATATAGACATCTTTCCATAGTCACTGTTATGTTTAATTGCGTATATTCTATTTCTGTTCGCTCAATGGGCGTAGGAAAATATTGACCGCAATATTTAGAGAATCCATGATGGTTCTCTTTCTGAAATAAATTGACCAATATATGATCCTGCGATGTCAAGGTGAGAGATCACGGGTCAATGACAAATATAGGAAGAAATTTCTAACCCAGTATCTCTGAGAGGTTAACTACCTGTAATGATATATCGGAATGATGGAGATAAAACTTGGTATCACATGTACTACTGCCTCAGACCAGAACTTAATAATTCTAAATTATTTTATACTTCCATCATAAATTTTTCAAAAATAAAGTTGTTTATATTGAGTTTTCTTCTAATCTAAGCACAAAGTAACTATTTTTTTTAGAGTTATCCTCACATAAATTAATTTTTTTTTTATATTAAAAAATATATTTTTGATTTTTCAAGAGTACTCACATGGACGAACAATAAGGTTTTATCATAAATATTCATAAAAAAAAATCCCACAGGTAAAATATTTCAAAGATAAGCGACAAGATGCGTTTATTTGATTCATATCCATTATTAGGCAAATTAATGTAAGTTCTAATTATAACTAATTATTCTTCAGTAAAAATAATAATTTTGCATGATTTATGATAGAAGAAATAATGTGTATGATAGATCAAGGGTATATGCATCTTGAAGTATTTCAATTACGGTTAATTTTATTCAAAATGTAAATATATTTTCTATTGATTCATAATAATCAGATTTGTACTCTTTGGTTTTTCATATTATGCAGATTGAATTTCTTCCAAATACAAAGTCAAACGAAGACATGTACTGATATTTTCTTTGTTTAACAGAATAACACACAGAATAAATCTAAATGACTTTTAGGTAAAGAAACACATATTTTTGACATATAGAGATAGTGGAACGTAATCAAGCGAAATTCTAATCCCATTGAAACAATACATAGGAAGGAAGTATAATCACGGACCTATTCAACCATCAGAGGTGGAATCAGGTGCATAGAGGAGTAAATTTCCCTGTTGACCGGAAAAAAATCCTATGTGCCAATTGTAATGATTTGGCAAACGAAAAAAAAATCGCAGACAATTTAGTGTGTTAAATATGAAAAACATCTTACAGCATATGACTTATTCGTGAATTGTGTTTTATGACAAAGACATTGTATAGATCAGCGGATTAAAGAAATGTTGAACATCAAAAAATTGTAGATATCTTTGTTTATCAACTTGATTGTCAATAGCATGCCTTGTTTCAGAAATCGTTCGTACGTAGAGAAAACTGTTGCATATCGAATCAACTGCCAAAAATAAACTCCTTATGCTGGTGATAGGGATACATTGCTACATTAATTTGGAAAGCTGACGATAGACAAATCGAAGTCATTATGTCTATTTTAAAGTTAGGTTAACTTTTCCTTTAGTGAAATATTCAACAGACTTGTAAGAGAGACTCAGTGGTTCAATGTAATTGAATTCTAATTTCACTAAAATTATCGGTTTGACATGTGATTGAAAACAAAGAAATTCTGTTTCTTTAGAATATGAAAATAGGTTTGTTATAATATCGGGGTGCAATTGGTACCCCAAAAAATTAAATTTTGAATTTGAAATTGTTTGAAGTCCCCACTTTCTAAAACTACATAGACATTGTCAATGATAAACTCGGGTATCTTTCTAATATCAACTTTTAAGTACTAGCGTTCTGAAATGATGCTTTTTTAACGACATAAGTTTCCAAATGACGAATTAAAAGGGCATAGACACAGTTTGAGCTAAAATTTCAATTTTTTTTTTATTTTTACAAATATTTAACTAGGGTCTTTGTAATGATCATCAAAAATATAAACGTCAGTTGTCCAGATACAAGACAGATTTAGAGCTCCAAACCTTTGTTATGTAAACAAGGTCTGTGTCATGTTTTTGTTTACATAGGTTAATATACTAATATATGTTCGTTCAAAGTAGATAATTTCAAATTAAAGTTAATTTTAAATACAGTTCGACAGTTACATTGCTTTGCTGAATTTCATTTTGTTATAAATATGATATTTTCTATATGTTAACAAAGACAAGGCACGAGCCTTGTTTACATTAAAAAGAACTTTAAGTTCTGTATCTTATTTGTTAATCAACAAATGATGTTCAAATTTTTGGTAATCAATAGATGATGCCTTAGGTAGGAATTGTAAATATTAAAATTAGTTTTAAAAATTCAGTTGAAACTATGCCCATGCTCCTTTATGTATATTTACGAGTTCCATTTTTTTAAACAGCAGCTATAGGTGAATAAAAAAATTAGCAATCGTGGGAAATTGGTAATGGAATTTGATGAAATTTGCTTAATTAGAGCAATTCTGTATTTTTTTATGATTGATATAAACATTTCTGCTCAATTCTAAAATCAAAATAACGAATCTCTGGAGACCAACACCTTGAGGTTCAATTTATAAAAGCATATGAGCTTGAATTTGCAAATTTACTGAAAAAATAAATTAACATTTTCGTTCACAGTTAAAGCTTTCAAACATCCTCTGTGTGATATAATACACGTTCTTTTTTGGATAAACCTGGCACACCCTTGTGCTAGAGTAAGATTGTAACAGCATTTCTGTCCTGGACACCAATAATCGGAATAACATGGCCTACCCAAGTCTCCTGTGTTGACAAAATTTGACAGGTACCAGGTTTGTTTACTAGGGATTAAAAAAGAAAATGAAAAAGTTCAAATGAAAACAGACAATTACATTTTTTCAAAAAAAAAAAAGTATTGAAGACATAATGATTTAAAACTGAATTCCTAACTTGTATTTTGTTTTCAATTCATTATTCTATTTGGACAGATATATCAAAAGTTTCATTAATTCCCAAATCAGTATAATACAGGGAATTTCGGTAAGATGAAATATTCAAATATTTTCCCGAATGGCTCAATCACCATTTATTTTTCTTTAAACTTTAAAACTTTTAACAGTTCGTCCTTCAGTATGTCCTGATTTAAGAAACATTAATTCAAATAAAAATGATGGAATTTAAAATACATATGATTACCAAATGGTGGATAAACTCCGCCTCCTCCTCCTCCTACAGGTGGATAAACTCCGCCGACAGGTGGATAGACTCCTCCTCCTGGATGATAGACATTTTTCTTGTCGTAATCAGCACTGCAGAGCGCAACGGAAACAAGTAGTACAAACGCTATCATGGCGACCTGGAAAAAATTACATAAAAGATGAAAAAGGTGCGTGTAACACTAAACATTTAAATTCTTAAAATTATTTACACATTTATAATTTCAATATATAAGTTCAAATTTTTAAAATTCAGAAACTTTAACTGATTTTGTATGTTGAAATATAATATCTTAGCTCAAAAACCTAAAACTTCAAATTTCCAAACAAGTGTAAAATCTGGAAGTTTTAGATTTTTATTTTAGAAATTAGAACTTTGATTTAAGGGTATCCGATCCTCAGTTAGAAAGGATAACTCTTCAATTTATTGACAAATTCAATAGGATTAAAATGAAGCTTGAAAATTAAATCTTTTCATGCGACAATTTTTTTTCATTCATCTTAAGTGCTTCAAGGTTCTTTGAAATTCTAATAAAGATAATATAGAAAGTCCAAATTTTTACCTCATAGAGGTATTTTAAAATTACTTATCTTAAGAAATTGAGGTTATTTTTTAATCTAGCCATGGATACCGATGTATATTAACATGATATGAAGGTATGAAGATCTTTATACACTATGCATTGTGAAATAATCGAAGTAATTTATAAATTATAGAAAGAGCTAAAGTAAATTTTTATTATTTTTTTTTCAAAAAGAAACCATTTTCTCAGACCTTACAGATGAAAAGTCAAAATATTTTTTTCATTGCTAAGATACTTACTATGTCCTTTGTCAGAAAAAGTCCTGAAGGCAAAGATCCGAAAGATTCTCTCTCTTTTTATACTCCCAGGTAACAGGCAAAATCGGAAATTCCCTACAAACACAGAATTTGATTGATTAATATTCTCATCTTTTTTTCAGTCTACATCACTTGCATGTCAATTATGGTACAGGTTAAGGTGGAAGCAGACAAATTAAAAAACAAAAAAATGTGATTCAAATCATAACCCATTAATGACAGATCGTTAATTAGATGAACAAATGATAATGTTGTTTTATGGGAATTTTTGGCCATTGAAAAACACTCATGAAACGTATTGCTGTTAGCATGCATTTTACGTTCGTCGACTTTCAAACAAAAAAAAAATTGAAATTTCAAATCCTAAAATGGAAAATCATTTTTCTATCAAGTACTCATGAGGAATTCTTAAAAATAACTAAATTTTCTTTGAGGTTTTCCATTTTAGTATTTGACATTTAAAGACTGTAATTTGTATATTTGCGGTAAATGATATATTTTTTTTCTCATTGGAGTAAGATTATCAAGAATCCTGCTATGTGTAACGATGTCATTTTTTTCGTTTATCGCCATCATATAGTAAAACTGTTCTTCTCTGGATTTCTTTTTCAATCACCATTGTAAGAATCTCTTATCTTCAACATCTTCAACTGTACATTTAAATTTCAAATCACTGAATCTTTAATCTAATACTGTACACACACTTAAAAGATCCTTATTTTGGAATAATTATCGATATCAATTTCTATTCCTGAATTGTCGACCTTGTAAAAAATAAAAGAAAGAATTTCCATAGGATGGAAAAATCAAACCTGCTTCCTTTTTCAAAAGAAATATGCGCTGCTTTCAGTAGATCATTTATAGACCTTATTACAGTCTAGAATTGAAAAGAAACGAAAGTATATTATAAAATATAAGTGAACATTTCCTCATTATTTCCCCATTTACAATGTTTATAACTTTAACCAGGTCTTAAAATGTTTATATTGTCCATATATCAGATCTTGAAGAGACTATATCACAGAAAATGTATCCTTTTAAGTTCAATTATTTATCATTCCTAAAATTTTGCAAGAACATTGGTCGAGCCATACACATGTTTTTCAAAGACAGTGCGTGAACATGACCGATATTATCGCACTTTGAAAATTATTTATTTTTTCAAAGTGCATTTACTTCGTCCCAATTTTGACGCACTTTGAAATAAAAATAAAAATGCTCAAAGTGTCGTAATTTATCAAAGTGCGTTGTAACAGTTCATTTTGTTAATAAGGTCCCACAATTTTATATCTTTGTTTGTTTAACGTCTCTTTCGAGAATTTTTCACTCATATCGAGACTCCACCACTTACCGGCGGAGTGTTACAAATTAAAACTTCTACGAGGCACTCAGAGCCACATTACGTAGTGGTATTTGCATCCGCAACGTTAGAGTCAACTCCTTTTCGCTAGGCTCTAGATTAGATTAACAAGAGGCCCATGGGCCACATTGCTCACCTGAGCACTGTAGCTAGGAAAAAGTAGAAATTTATTATTGAAAAGTTTAAATTCAAAAGAAGTCCCGTGACCAGTTATGGATTTGCTATTATTGAGATTCTGAAGATGATTTTTTAAGAATTTTCCTATATATTTTTATGTAAAAATTGGTCGGCGATTGTGGTCCTGCCCTTCCCCCGGGGTTCATGACTTGAACAAACTTGAATCTACACCACCTGAGGATGCCTCCATATAAATATGATGAATTATGGCCTTGTCATTCTTGAGAAGAAGATGTTTGAAGAATTTTCCTATACATTTCTATGTAAAATTTTAGTCAGCCATTTTGGCCCCGCCCTTCCCCCGGGGGTCATGATTAAACAAACTTGAATCTACACTACCTGAGGATGCTTCCATATGAATTTGACCAATCATGGCTTTGCTATTCTTGAGATGAAGATTTTTAAAAGAATTGCTTAAATATATTTATATGTAAAAATTTGGTAGGCCATTGTGGCCCCGCCCTACCCCCGGGGGTCATGATTTGAACAAATTTGAATTTACACTATCCTAGGATGCATCCACATGAATATAACCAACCATGGCTTTGTTATTCTTGAGAAGAAGATTTTTAAAGAATTTTCCTAAATATTTCTATGTAAAAATTTGGTCGGCCATTGTGGCCCCGCCCTACCCCCGGGGGTCATGATTTGAATAAAATTAAATATAAACTACCTGAGGATGCTTCCATATGAATATGACCAATCATGGCTTTGCTAATCTTGAAAAGAAGATTTTTTAAAAATTGTCTATATATTTCTATGTAAAACTTTGGTCGGCCATTGTGGCCCCGCCCTACAACCGGGGGTCATGATTTGAAGAAACTTGAATCTACACTACCTGAGGATGCATCCACATGAATATAACTAACCATGGCTTTGCTATTCTTGAGAAGAAGATTTTTAAAGAATTTTCCTATATATTTCTATGTAAAACTTTGGTCGGCCACTGTGGCCCCGCCCTACCCCGGGGGTCATAAATTAAACAAACTTGAATCTACACTACCTGAGGATGCTTCCATATAAATATGACCAATCATGGCTTTGTTATTCTTGAGAAGATTTTTAAAGAATTTTCCTAAATATTTCTATGTAAAAATTTGGTCGGCCATTGTGGCCCCGCCCTACCCCCGGGGGTCATAATTTGAACAAACTTGAATCTACACTACATGAAGATGCTTCCACATGAATTTGAGCTTTCCTGGCCCAGTGGTTCTTGAGAAGAAGAATTTCAAAAGATGCCATTAATTTTTCACTAATTCATAATTATCTCCCCTTGGAAAATCGGCGTGGCCTTTTATTTGAACAAACTTGAATCCCCTTTACATAAGGATACTTTGTGGTAAGTTTGGTTGAAATTGGCCCAGCAGTTCTTGAGAAGAAGATGAAGATGTGAAAAGTTTACAGACAGACGGATAGACGGACAGACAGACAGGCAGATAGACGGACAGACGGACGCCGGACAAAATGTGATCAGAAAAGCTCACTTGAGCTTCCAGCTCAGGTGCGCTAAAAACTCTAACACTGCTATTATTGTTTGTTTGTTAAACGCCCTTTCCAGAAGTTTTAACTCATTTTAAGACATGGTCGCCCACGTGCCACATTGGTAGGAGCGTTTCCTCTTGAGTCGAGGAGTAAGGAATTGATCCTTAAAGGTTTGAATCGAATTAGAGAGGTTAAAACATTTCTTCCTGATGAGAGTTTACAGCTTAACGTACTTTTCAAACTCACATGGTTTTCCTTTTTGCCCAAATTAAGGTCACTTTCTTAAAATGCAACATTTGTGTAACCTGACGACAAAATATATTTTAAAAGTGATCTATAACTTAATTTTGATCTTATTACATTACTTTAAACATAATTCAAACATAATAAGTGGTAGGGTTTTCATGCTCTTCGATGATAGAATATGACAGTTCCCAAATGTTTTTTCATGGTTTCTAGTCAAATGAAGCCGTTTTTGTATCCGTTCATTCTAAAGCATACCTTTGCATTTGCTTAATACAGAAAAAGTGCAGTTCATGTTACTTCAGTATTTTCTGTACATGAATATGACACTTAAGCGCAAGATGATAGAAGTATTTCTCATCTGTTCGGTGTTTTCTTTTCAATACTTACAATTCACTATGTTGAAAGATAAACAATACTTGATTATCATATCCTTTGACATGATTTCTTTATGCAGTTTTGTCATTTTTGGTGCTGTATTTCCACGAAACCAAGACAAGTATGGAAAATGGGCAAAGTTAGGTTGAAAAATACTCATCTGTAAGAAGTCAATTTGAGCAGTTCAACTAAATAGTATAAAAAAGCTCGATTATATAATTTGTAAATACCTATGGTGGAATCATACACATGTAACGTCATACAATGTTTAAACTAATTCCCTTTTACAGAAATGCAATTTTAAAACTTAAGATAGAGAATATGCACCTTTAACATAAAATATATAATACTTTAGGGTAATGTCTCGTACTGAAGCTCGATGATTTTAAGTTTTATTGCAAGAAAAATGTGACCTTAATTTATGCAAAAAACCATGTGAGTTTAAAAAGTGCGTTGATATGTATAAATCGAGGTCTCGCTGACCAAGGGTCCTAATTCCCTAAGGAATTATTTTTTATCCCATCCAAAGACGCGCTTCAATCAGAATTGCATAATCAATATTTAGTTTAAGATATATGAATATCAATAATTATGTGTCGAGAAAAATAATTTCTTCAAAATGGTTTGAAATATGGTTTTTATTTATTTTTTTTCATTTTAAAATTAATGTGAATATTGTAGGCTTATTATTATGTCTAGGGAAAGAACTTCAAGATTATTGATTGGAATACACCAAAGGATTTACTACATCGATATCTTTAACATGATTTTTTTCTCTAAAGTAACCATAGGCAAATACATGTTTATGTTTAAAAAAAAAGAATCTAGATATGTACATTCAAATATCTTCCGAAAATAAATAAATATGATATAATCAAACTTACAAAAATATCTGTGTCATCACCACTAAAGAATGATAAAAACGCCCCGCATGGAAAAATTCTCAAATTTTGATTGCTCAAAATTTCACGTTCTGCAACCAAATGCAATGCATTCTTAATATATATTAAAGGAATTCCTCCTCGATCTTTAGGTGTGTCAAATGAAAAACCTTTATAAAAGTCTTGCATTGTTTTATATAATTCGTAGCTATATAGACATCTTTTCATAGTCACTGTTATGTTTAATTGCGTATATTCTATTTCTGTTCGCTCAATGGGCGTAGGAAAATATTGACCGCAATATTTAGAGAATCCATGATGGTTCTCTTTCTGAAATAAATTGACCAATATATGATCCTGCGAGGACAAGGTGAGAGATCACGGGTCAATGACAAACATAGGAAGATATTTCTAACCCAGTATCTCTGAGAGGTTAACTACCTGTAATGATATATCGGAATGATGGAGATAAAACTTGGTATCACATGTACTACTGCCTCAGACCAGAACATAATAATTCTAAATTATTCTATACTTCCATCATAAATTTTTCAAAAATAAAGTTGTTTATATTGAGTTTTCTTCTAATCTAAGCACAAAGTAACTATTTTTTAGAGTTATCCTCACATAAATTAATTTTTTTTTTATATTAAAAAATTTATTTTTGATTTTTCAAGAGTACTCACATGGACGAACAATAAGGTTTTATCATAAATATTCATAAAAAAAATCCCACAGGTAAAATTTTTCAAAGATAAGCGACAAGATGCGTTTATTTGATTCATATCCATTATTAGGCAAATTAATGTAAGTTCTAATTATAACTAATTATTCTTCAGTAAAAATAATAATTTTGCATGATTTATGATAGAAGAAATAATGTGTATGATAGATCAAGGGTATATGCATCTTGAAGTATTTCAATTACGGTTAATTTTATTCAAAATATAAATATATTTTCTATTGATTCATAATAATCAGATTTGTACTCTTTGGTTTTTCATATTATGCAGATTGAATTTCTTCCAAATACAAAGTCAAACGAAGACATGTACTGATATTTTCTTTGTTTAACAGAATAACACACAGAATAAATCTAAATGACTTTTAGGTAAAGAAACACATATTTTTGACATATAGAGATAGTGGAACGTAATCAAACGAAATTCTAATCCCATTGAAACAATACATAGGAAGGAAGTATAATCACGGACCTATTCAACCATCAGAGGTGGAATCAGGTGCCATAGAGAAGTAAATTTCCCTGTTGACCGGAAAAAAATCCTATGTGCCAATTGTAATGATTTGGCAAACGAAAAAAAAATCGCAGACAATTTAGTGTGTGAAATATGAAAAACATCATACAGCATATGACTTATTCGTGAATTGTGTTTTATGACAAAGACATTGTATAGATCAGCGGATTAAAGAAATGTTGAACATCAAAAAATTGTAGATATCTTTGTTTATCAATTTGATTGTCAATAGCATGCCTTGTTTCAGAAATCGTTCGTACGTAGAGAAAACTGTTGCATATCGAATCAACTGCCAAAAATAAACTCCTTATGCTGGTGATAGGGATACATTGCTACATTAATTTGGAAAGCTGACGATAGACAAATCGAAGTCATTATGTCTATTTTAAAGTTAGGTTAACTTTTCCTTTAGTGAAATATTCAACAGACTTGTAAGAGAGACTCAGTGGTTCAATGTAATTGAATTCTAATTTCACTAAAATTATCGGTTTGACATGTGATTGAAAACAAAGAAATTCTGTTTCTTTAGAATATGAAAATAGGTTTGTTATAATATCGGGGTGCAATTGGTACCCCAAAAAATTAAATTTTGAATTTGAAATTGTTTGAAGTCCCCACTTTCTAAAACTACATAGACATTGTCAATGATAAACTCGGGTATCTTTCTAATATCAACTTTTAAGTACTAGCGTTCTGAAATGATGCTTTTTTAACGACATAAGTTTCCAAATGACGAATTAAAAGGGCATAGACACAGTTTGAGCTAAAATTTCAATTTTTTTTTTATTTTTACAAATATTTAACTAGGGTCTTTGTAATGATCATCAAAAATATAAACGTCAGTTGTCCAGATACAAGACAGATTTAGAGCTCCAAACCTTTGTTATGTAAACAAGGTCTGTGTCATGTTTTTGTTTACATAGGTTAATATACTAATATATGTTCGTTTAAAGTAGATAATTTCAAATAAAAGTTAATTTTAAATACAGTTCGACAGTTACTATTGCTTTGCTGAATTTCATTTTGTTATAAATATGATATTTTCTATATGTTAACAAAGACAAGGCACGAGCCTTGTTTACATTAAAAAGAACTTTAAGTTCTGTATCTTATTTGTTAATCAACAAATGATGTTCAAATTTTTGGTAATCAATAGATGATGCCTTAGGTAGGAATTGTAAACATTAAAATTAGTTTTAAAAATTCAGTTGAAACTATGCCCATGCTCCTTTATGTATATTTACGAGTTCCATTTTATTTAAACAGCAGCTATAGGTGAATAAAAAAATTAGCAATCGTGGGAAATTGGTAATGGAATTTGATGAAATTTGCTTAATTAGAGCAATTCTGTATTTTTTTATGATTGATATAAACATTTCTGCTCAATTCTAAAATCAAAATAACGAAACTCTGGAGACCAACACCTTGAGGTTCAATTTATAAAAGCATATGAGCTTGAATTTGCAAATTTAATGAAAAAATAAATTAACATTTTCGTTCACATCATTTGTTAAAGATTTCAAACATCCTCTGTGTGTCCTTTAAAGTTTGCATATTTAATACACGTTCTTTTTTGGATAAACGCCTCCAGGAAGGTATCCTCCAACGACACCTCCGACAGGTCCGACACCCCCGACAGGTCCAACACCTCCTACAGGTCCGACACCTCCGACAGGTCCAACACCTCCGACAGGACTGACACCTCCGAATACTCCTTGGAGACCTTGGCCGTAGCCGTAGTAAGTAGGATAGGTGCATGTGTCGACATTTCCAGAATATCCTTTACAGCATTTTAGATAACCACCACATTGATAGTCGTGGTTACAATTGCCAGCTCCGATGCTATTAGGATAGGATGGACAGAATCCAAAAGGCTTGCTATATTCTCGGGGAACTTGGCACCCTCTCCTGGTGGAGTAATATACGTTGCAGCATTTCTGAACTCCTGGACAATCATAATCATTACTGCAGTCTCTACCGCAGTAGTCTCCTTCTGTGGTGCCGTAAATTCGACAATTACCAGGTTTATATACTAGGATTTAAAAAAGAAAATGAAAAAGTTCAACTGAAAACAGATTTTTTTTTAAAACTGATATCAGGCAATTTTTCAAAAATCAATTTACAATTTTAAAGAAATTTGTTGAAAGGCATAATGATTTGAAACTGAATTCTTAACTTGTATTTTATTTTCAATTCATTATTCTATTTGGACAGATATATCAAAAGTATCATTAATTCCCAGATCAGTATAATACAGGGAATTTCTGGTAAGATGAAATATTCAAATATTTTCCCGTCTGGCTCAATCTCTATTTATTTTTCCTTAAACTTTAAAACTTTTAACAGTTCGTCCTTCAATATGTCCTCATTTAAGAAACATTAATTGAAATAAAAAGAATGGAATTAAAAATACATACGATTTACAAATGGTGGATAAACTCCGCCTCCTCCTCCTCCTCCTCCTACAGGTGGATAAACTCCGCCGACAGGTGGATAGACTCCTCCTCCTGGGCGATATACATTTTTCTTGTCGTAATCAGCACTGCAGAGTGCAACGGAAACAAGGAGTACAAACGCTATCATGGCTACCTGTTAAAAAAGTACATGAAAGGTCCTTGTAAAACTAAACATTTAAATTCTTAAGATTATTTACAAATTTAAAGTTTCAATATATTAGCTCAAATTTCTAAAATTCAGAAACTAATTTCGTATATTGAAAAATAATATCTTAGCTCAAAAACCTAAAACTTCAAATTTCCAAACAAGTGTAAAATCTCGAAGTTATAATTTTTACTTTAAATTTTTAAAATTCAAATTTCCAAAAGCGATTTTGGTATTTTTAAGTATTTTTGAATTTTTGCTCCTATAGAAAGATTACGCTCATTTTTCTAAAGTTGAATACCTTTACCGTATTTTGATATATTATTTTGAACGTTTATATTTTTAGGAAATAGAACTTTGATTTAAGGATATCCGATCCTCAGCTAGGAAGGATAACTCTTTAATTTATAGACAAATTCGATAAGCCTCAAAATGAAGCCTGAAAATTATATCTCTTCATGCGACATATTTCCTTTCATACCTCTCAAGTGCTTAAAGGTTTTTGAAATTCTAATAATTCTAAAAAAAGGTCATATAAAAATTCATTTATAAAATTTTGAAATTACATATTTCAAGAAATATAGGCTATTTTGATATAGCCATAGATACTGATGTATATTAAAATGATATGAAATCAGACGTGATCTATTATTTTTAAATAAGGTAAGGAGATCTTTATTCACTATGCATTGTAAAATAATCGAAGTAATTTAGAAAAAAAATTCATTTTTTTTTTCAAAAAGGAACCATTTTCTCAGACCTTACAGATGAAAAGTCAAAATATTTTTCCATCGCTGAGATACTTACTGTGTCCTTTGTCAGAAAAAAGTCCTGAAGGCAAAGATTCGAAAGTTGTCTCTCTTTTATACTCCTAGGTAACAGGCAAAATCAGAATTCGATTGATTAATATTTTCATTTTTTTCAGTCTATATCACTTGCATGTCAATTATGGTACATGTAAAGGTGGAAGCAAACACATTAAAAAACAAAAAAAATATGATTTAAATCATTACCCATTAATGACAGATCGTTAATCGGATGAACAAATTATAATGTTGTTTAATGGAAATCTTTCGCCATTGAGAACCACTAATGAAACGGATTGCCATTAGTATGCATTTTACGTTCGTCGACTTTCAAAAAAAAAAAAAAAAAAAAATAAATAAGATAAATAAATTTCAAATCCTAAAATGAAAAATCATTTATCTATGAAGTACTCCCGAGGAATTCTTATTCTTAAACATAACATTTCTGCCTGGGGCTGTTTTATATTTTGAAAATTTAAACTTAACGTTTCTCTAAAGACCCCAACAAGGAAATGATTAACATTAATGATGAAATATAAATCCCAATTTTCTTTGAGGATTTCCATTTTAGTATTTGACATTTAAAAATTGTAATTTGTATATTTGCAGTAAATGACCACTATTGTCAGGGGTCCCCTATATAATCTCTATCTTCAACATCTTCACCTGTACATTTAAATTTCAAATCATGAAATTTTGAAAAGGGCGTTAAAATTGGGATAAAACCAACGCACATTGATTTTATTTAATGTGCGTTAAGAGTAAACATCAATAAATACAATGAAGACACTGTACATACTTAGATAAAAATATGTATAAAACAAAACTTCTGGACTTAGATTTTAGCAACAGAGAAGATCAATTAATTTGTGATATATATCGTTCAATAAAAATATGCATTGATTTATCCATTTTGGAGAATGAGAGGAATACTGGAACATTTAGAAGGTCTTTCAGCCCAAATCTTTATTTCATATATAGGCGTCGGTACATGTACATGTGTAGTAAATAGAATGTGGGATGCGGGCATTAGGATAGGGGGGAGGGCTGTTTTTTTTAACAAAGATGTATATCTTTGCATTAAAAATGGGGGGGGGGGGCGGAAGGCTAAAACCCCTTACCTCCTTTAGTTTCGATGCCTTTGTTATACCCAGAAATGTGTATTGCATAACTGGTATAACGTTAAAAACTTTAAATAAATTTAAGTGAATGTAAACTAGATGAAATATCTAGGAAAGTAAAATGAATGAGAGAGAAAGATTTTTATTAGTATGGAAAAATCAAAACTGCTTCATTTTTTCTTAAAAAATATACAATGCTTTAAGTAGATAACTTATAGACCCCCCTTACATCTACCGAACTTATTACAGGCTAAAATTAAAAAGAGACAAAATGATACGATTAAATATTAATGAACATTTCTTCATGATTTCTAAAACACCCATTTACAACATTCATAACATTTACCAGAGCCTCAAATATCTATAACGTTCATATACATGTATCAGATCCTGAAGAGACTACATCACAGAAAAGGTATCCTTTCAGGTTCAATAATTTATTATATAATACAATTTTTATTATACCATTTTGCAAGAAATCTGGCTGAGCCATCCACATTTTTGTTCAAAATGCATTTAAAAGGGACGAAGTTAATGCACTTTGAAAAGAATTTTATTTTTTCGAAGTGTGTTAACTTTGTCCCAAATATGACGTACTTTGAAAACATATTTTTTAAAGTGTGTCGCAACAGGCCACTTTGTAAATAAGGTCCAACATTTTTATATGCTTGTTTAAATTCTTTCACTCATATACACTTATATGAAGAAATGGTCTCCACTTCCCTTGATGAGATTTGAATAAGCGACTTTAGGATAATCTTCTTTTTCCTAGACTCTAGAGCAATGCACCATGCGCGCGACTATTGTTTGTTTGTCAAACACCCTTTATGGAGGTTTTTTACTCAGATTAAGACATGGTCGCCCACGTGGTGCATTGGAAAAAGCGTTTACGCTAGAGTCGAGGAGGAAGGAATGGGTGCTTAAAGGTTCGACTCACATTGTGAGTCATTTAAACTCACCGAGGTGCCATGTCGCAGTAGGTGATGACACGAAAAAGATCTTTTGCTACTCAAGGGTCCTAAGTGCCGATTACAGGGCAGTAATTGTGGCATTTACCTGTAAGTTATGGCGTTTAAATATGAGGACAATTCCTAAAGGGATATTAAATAACAAGCTTCCAATCAAATTTCCCATAATATTAAATAAACTCGGTTTTAAATTGGTTATAATTAAATAACTATAAATTAAATAAATTCAAAATCAACCCAATTCATGCGGTATAAACTAGGTTCGGAAGCTTTTCATAAAAAACCTTTTCAAATCCAGTTTATTTTTCATAAATTGGGTAACTATTGAAAGAATTCACTGTGTTTTTATTTTCGTTATTTTAAGTAAGAAAAAAAGACGATTATCAAATATCTTTTAGTTAAACTCAATATAAATATTACGTCAGGCGAATCAATTCGCTTTTGACGTACGGTTAGGAAGATGTGGCATATCTTATTCTATATAAAGTATTTTTATCCAATATAAAGACGCGCTTCAATTGGAATTACATTATTAATATTTAATTTAAGATATATCAGACTGAGTATTTGTTAGTCGTGAGAAATTATTTCTTCAAAATGCTTTGAAATGTGGTTTTGATATTCTTTTCATTTTAAAAGTATTGTGAATATTATACACTTAGAATTATGTCCAGAGATAGAACTTTAATGTTATTGATCGGAATGATCGGATTTTCTTAAGAAACCATAAGCAAACATATATGTCTGTTTTCACTCATTACGATAACTTGTTTTTTTTCCCCAAAAAAATTTCGTGATATGCGCAATCAAATATCTGTAGAATTATAAATGCATAAAATGGCATTGAACTTAAAATATATATGTGTCATCACCATTAAAGAAATTGATAAAAATGCCCGTCATGGAAAAATTCTCAAACTTTAATTCCTTATAATTTCACGTTCTGCGACCAAAATTTTTAATACAATTCTTTCTTTATCTTATTCTAATGGAATTCTTCCTTTATCTCATAGGTGTGTCAAACAAGAAAAATCCTTTATAAAAGTCCTGCTTTTGTCTTCTAAAATTCGTAGTCATCATTTCATAGTTTTTTTTTTTATTATAATTAAGTATGTATATTCTATTTTTGTTTGCTCCATGGTGCAGGAAAATATTGACCACAATATTTAAAGAAACCATGAAGATTCCCTCTCTAAAATAAATGGGCCAATATATGAATCTGCGAAAACAAGGTAAAAGGTGATGGGTCAACCATGAAAAAACTAGACAAATATAGGAAGATATTTTTAGCCCATAATCTTGGTCAACTACCTGTAATGTGTTGTGAAGTGATATGTAGGAATGACGGAGATAAAACTTGGTATTACGTTTGCATCAGACTAGAACATAATAGTTTTAAATTATTTTATAATACTTCCACCATAGATTTTCCATATTTATAGTTGTTTACATGAGTTTTCTTCTAAAATATGCAAAACATACACAAAGTTTAGCTTTATGCTTTTATTAATTGATACTTTTTTAAAATAAAAAAAATAATCATTTTTAATTGTTCAAGAGTATTAAAACGAACAATAAGGTTTTATTTTTAAATATTCAGAAAAAAGAATTGTGATAGTTCAAATAAATTCAATAGGCAAACAATTTCGAAGTTAAGTGACAGGGATGAGTTTATTTAATTTATATCCATTATCAGGCTAATTAATATTCCAATTATAGCTAATAATTTCGTATGTTGTAAAAATAATTAATTTTGCATGATTTATATTAGGAGAAATAATGTTTATGACACACCAAGGATAAACGCATCATGCAATTTTTCAAATACAGTTAATTTTATTCAACATATAAATATATCTTTTTCTGTTGAATTATAATAATTAGATTATGTACTCTTCATTTTTTTTATATGATGCAGATTGAATTTCTTCCATATGCAAAGTTAAATGAAGACATGTACTGAAAAAAAACAGTTGTATATATTTTCTCCGTTAAACAGAATAACACATAGAATAAATTTTAATGTCTTTTAGGTAAGAAACAGATTTTGTTGCAGTATGTAGACAGTGAAACGTAATTAAGCGTAATTCTTAACCCATTCAAATAATATAGAATGGAAGATGTGTAATCACGCATGCGCACTTTTTTGATCATCAGAGGTGGAATCAGGTGCAATGGACGAGTAAGTATTCCCTGCTGATCTGACACAACCACTGTGTGCTTATTGTCATGAACGGGCAAACGAAAAATCGTGAAATGTGTTTGATGATAAAAACATTGTATAGATCATAAAATTTGTGAAATGTTGTTCTTTAACAAAACTATTGATATCCTTGTTTATCAACTTGATTGTCAATAGCATGCCTTGTTTCAGAAATTGTTCATACGTAGAGAAAACGGTTACATTTCGAATCAACTGCGACTCATAAACTCCTTATACAAGTGATAAGGGTACACACTACATTAATTTGGAAGTTGGTGATAGACAAATCGAAGTCAATACGTCCATTACAATGTATAAATTTACGTTAACATTTTTTCCTGTAAAATATCCAAATGTTCAACAGACTTGTCAGACTCTGTGGTTTAATTTAATTTAATTTTAATTGCACTGGAAAATATTTGGTCGAAATTTGATTGAAAACAAAGAAATTCTGCTTTTTTAGAATATGAAAATAGGTTTGTTACATATCGGGATGAAGTAATTGTGGGTAAAATGGTGCTATTTTTAACGCAATAGTTTGCAAATGACGAATTAGGTATATTTAGGAGTTTCATTGCATTAAAAAAACAGCTATATGTGATATCACATAAAAAACTTGGGCGTTAACTAATCGCGGGAAATTGTTAAAGGAAATTGATGAATTTTGCATAATTAGATGCTTAGCATTTCTGTAATTTTTGGCTGATTGATTGCAGGCACTATAAACTTTTCTGCTCATCTCTTAAATCAGTTCAATTAAGGAAATTATAAGGGTTAAAGAGAGATAATG